TGCAGCTTCCATGACAAGATTTTCCCTTCCCTCCCACCCTTTTCACATATTTTATTTTGTTTTATTCTGGGGAGGGGAGGAGATGGGTGGGATCGGGGGGCATGATGTGAGAGACATAAAGAATGAATAAAAAGGTAGTTTTTAAAAAAAGAAAAGAGAAACAACTTCCCAAAGGAGGAGAGAATTCAAGGTGAATTTGGATTTGTATGATTCGGGTGACTCTGGCTGAGAGAAGAACTTCCTTTGCCAGTTGGCTTGGTGCAAACGCACGCTGAACCCAGGAACACATGCAACAGATGTCCGAGCTGCTTCCCGGAATTTCCATCCCTCAGGATCCCCCAGCTCCATCAGGTGTCCGATTGGAACTTGGCCTGGCCTCTGGAGCAGCGTACGTTCTTACTCACAGTGACCGTTTGGAGCATGCCTTCTCCTAAGGGGCTCCCAAGTGCATTGTGTTCCTGGCAGGCCTCAGGTTCTGATGGATCCCTGTCAGATTCCGTTCCTTCTGGGAAGACCTGTTTTTGTGGTTTCAGCCCCACCCTTTCCCTCACTTCCTGTCAGTCAGACATGCAGAGTCCCCTTGGATTTTCCTAGAAAGGATCAGTGTACAGCTAACACTTACAGGCCTGGTCTATATCTGCAGGCCCCCAGCAGGCAAGAAAAATCAATGGGCTCCAGAGAGGTTAGGGAATCATAGCCTGACCACACTAACACTCACAAATAAGGACTTAGAGAAGCAAGATGGGAACGGCTGAAATTGTCAAGGTGAGAGCACTGACGTCACGTGTGGAAAGGGATGGGTCCTTCCTTTGAAAGGATGTCTCTTCTTAAGCAGAAAGAAAGAAATCAAGAAAATCACTTCCATTTGAATTAAATATCAATGTCTGAGTTAGAACCTGAGGGGCGTGGGTTCCAGGGTGCTGGTCTTAGAGAAAGGCCGGAGGATAGGTGTACATACCGTGGTAAGGTCACTTTTGATCTCCTTCAGCTCACAGCAACAGAAAAAGAGACCTCCAGCATGCTACAGTTTGCTGCCAAAGGCTTGGTTTTCTTTATCCTCTGGGAAGAATGGTAGTGAGATCCATTTGGCATTCTGTGATCCGTTAGCTGGTAAAATATCGAAGTGGAATTTTGAGCATGCCCCTAGCCCAGAGCTATGTTGTAACATTGGTAGTATTATCCAAATAAGGAAGAAGGTTTCTATGTGCCTTTGTGAAGCTAGTCAATGAACAGTCACTGAATTAACTTTGTTGGGAACAACATGGTAGAATACTTACCAACAACTACATCAAGTATACTGGCAAATCAGAATGTTTATGAGCCCGAGTGAATCCTAAAAGCCTATTTGTGAACTGTTCAATTCTAATAGGAGGGAGGGGCAGCTTGAAGTCCCAAACCCCAGGCAGTACCTCATAAGATAATTATATTTGGAAATAAGACTGTTCCAAATGCAATTAGTTAAAAGGAAGTTATCTTGAAGTAAAGTAGCCCCCAAGCCAACATAATTGGTGTTTATTAAAAAGAGGAAGTATGGAGCTGGAGAGATGGCTTAAGAGTTAAGAGCATATACAGAGGACCTAAATTCATTTCCCAGCACCCATTTCAAGCTACTGGAATAACCTTATTCCCAACAGCCAGCCACTGACTCTTACCTGTACCTCAATCCGAAATGGCGATCCTGCCTCCAGGAATCCCAGAATGTGTGTGAGAGCTGTCTCCTCCCATTTTATATTCCTCTCTAGTGCTGGGATTAAAGGCGTGCACCACTACTGCCCAGTTTCTATAGCAAACTAGTGTGACTACTGGGATTAAAAGTGCGTGTCACCACTGCCTGGTCTGTAAGGCTGATCAGGGCGGCTGTTTTACTCTCTGACCTTCAGGCAAGCTTTATTTGTTAAAATACAAATGGAATATCACTACAACGGGGGAGGGGGAGACAGCAGCAGAGAGAAACAGTGCAACAAATGGAGAGGTAAACCCTTGGGGCCTTACAGGGAAGGGGAGGCTTCTTTAGAACGTCTGGAATGTCTAGAGGGGAGCATCACCAAGAGTGAAAGCAGCCTGGGGAGAAACAGGCAAAGGTGGGACTGGAATTTCCCTTCCCCCCAGGACAGGATGATTTGGTTATAAAGTATTACTAGCAACCAGTCCCTTTTGCTGTCTGCTTTCCAAACTCAGTGGATTGGATCTGTCAGATGACTCTGGAGTCATCTACAGGACTGCGGTGGAATCAAAGACGCAGAAGCATTGGTTTCAAGATGGAAGCACAAATCCACCCTGTGTGCTTAGGAGAAGGGGGTGTTGAACACTGGGCTGGCGGGTGCATTCTTGTCACCTGGGACGCTTGGAATTGATGATGCAGTCTTCATTATTCGGTTGTTTATGGAACTTCTCTTAGTGTGTACTTTTTGGTTGTGGGAAGTAAATTAAAACCCTAATGAAGACTTTGAGGTCCACCTGAATGTTAGAAGTAGGTGAAAGTGGGAGGAGACTTAGGACACAGATAAAGGCCATGGACATACTTTTCAATCCTGTGTAATGTCTAATTCTTGAAACTGAATCCAAAGCAGTGTTAAACCATGGCAACATTTGAACATTGGCAATGAGTGCCTAGCTGTGTGATCCCACCCCGCAAATGCCACTTTTAAAGCTTTATGCCTTTTCTTGACAAGTTTGTATCATATTTAAATTTTACATGCGTCATCTCTACAGGTAAGAGTGGAGAGGGGGAAATGTAATTTTTATGGCAATTTTGATATGAAAAGAAATGAATCATTTATTTTTACAATAGGCTTGGCTCACAATTAGGGAATTAGGATCCCTAGCATGGGATGGGATTTTATTTTATTTTTAGCAGCAACCTTGGTTGCAGACTGGAAGGCATAGCCGAATGTCTTAGTAAATGTAAATTTGAAGATTAAGAAAAGAGCGAGAACGAGAGAGAGTCGCCATAATAATGGGGGACACCAGAAAGATCGTTTAGAGGCCGACTTGCAGAGCAGTGTCCCCTGAAGTCCTCCTGAGGAGTCTCCAGCCCAGCCCTTTAACACCAGTAACAACAAAAAGAATCTGACCTTTGTGACCTTTTAGGGGTGGGAGGGGGAGTTTCATATCAAGTGATTTAGCTCTGGACGAGCCTGGAAGAGCCAAACATTGACTCCAGACCTCTCAAGTAGAAGCACAGTCGACTTCTGAACTTCCTGTTCCAGAGAGAGCTGCCCAGACTATGACTGATTGGAGCCATAGGACCTCACCTGAAGGTTCAAGTTCACGTTCTAACGGAAGCGAGCATGTCTTTCATGTGTGAGCTGACAACTGTCTAGGGCCTGTGCCTTGGCACACCAGTAGCCTGATGTTTTGATGAATGCTCTTGATCTCTTACTTCTTCCTCTGAGCCTTGTACTGAAATCCTTAGCAAGGCTTCCATTTCTGTAACGTAGGAGTGGTTAGGGCAGGAGAAGGAAACAAGAAAGTCACAGAGCTCAAAGCTTTCACAACATTCAGATGTGCTGGTAAGACCTAGTCACTGCCCCTTGGGACTTGTTCATACATCAAGTGTGGGCTCCTCACCTTCTGGCTGAGGGTGGTGGCAGACATTAAACAAATTCCAATGACTCGTGGCTAATGATATTCTAGAGTGTTCAGGAAATAGCAACAGTGGACATCAAAGAGCGATCCTGTTTCCTTTTAAAATATGAGGCCCCAGTCCTATTTCAAGACTAACTACCCCAACACTTTCTTCTTCAGAGGGAAGAAAAGTACTCAGCCTTTGGCAGGTTAGTTAGCTACAGAAAGTGTTTGGGTGCAATCAATGGCAGTACTATGAGGTACTGTGAGTGACATTTGAACACAGACCTCATTGAAAAAGGCCCTGTGGGTGTGTTACTCTGGTCTGGCAACACTCTACGTGTAAACTGTCCCGCCTGCTATAACAGATTTGCTTAAGTTTCCTTTTGGCTCAGTTCCACTCTGGCCCAAAAGCTCTGCTCATAAAGATGCATCTGAGCATGCTCTGGTAGGTGCTCAGAGACCAGATGCATGAGGGAACAAATGTTTCCATAGCAGACTCCAGATACCAGATGAGGGTTAAGGACTTTGAACCATTCTTTGCTCTGTATCTTATGAGAAAAAACACAAAGACACTTAATAGTCCCAGTATTCTAAGACGGGAACAAAATGACTTTCACTTCTTGGTTTGAGTGAAAGGTAAGAGATATTCACATGCTTCAAAGTTTGGCTTCTAAGGGGAAGTGGCAAGATGCAAGATCAATCTAAGTTTTTCGCTTTGAAGGGTAAGGGCTGACTGAGCAGATTCTGTCCACGCAGAAGAAATCCCTGATGTCCTAGCCCCGCTACAACATTTGGATACTACTGTCCTGGTGGAAACTTCACCACGACCCCTGGCATCCATACACCCAACGAGACTGGAAAGTTCTGTTGGAAGCTCCACCCAAAGCCCCCTCTCCCACCTCCCTCCAAACCCTGCTGCATCTCAGAAAGTCCATCAAATAATTACCCCTCCCCCAGAGATGCTCAAGACCACTCCAACGGGGGCATTTAAACTGCTCCATAGAAAGCAGATACATGTTTTTTTGGTCTCTCTTCCCCATCTTCTCTCTGGAGGCAAGGAGGGTGGAAAATCTTCCGGGAGTGTTTTATCTACTAAACCTGGACTTTTTCTAATTCAATTTGATTTGGTCTGATTTTGAGTGCTGTGTCGACAGAGAGGCTTATGGGGTGCAAAAGCTTTTTAATGACCGCTTATTTTGTTCTAGGGGAGCTTTTGTCCTTATCTAAGAAATCTTTAGCCTGAATTTCCCAGAATGGGCTCTTAGGAAGGAGTTGGGGGCGGCTTTACTAGACAATGTAATCACGCTGTGTGACGCGATTGTAATTACACATGTTGTGTTGACAATCCGTGGGGAGACAAGAATAAAGGTCTATTCACCCCCCAAAGGGAGCCAATGGCAGATCAAAGTATGAAACCTAACAAAGTCCAATTTAGTGAATCAGTGAGTTTTATTGAAGTTACTTAAATGTAGGTGAGGGCCTACAGGACAAAAAGGCTCACAGACAGCTGCATCCCCAACTTCCACGCCAGCGTGGGTGACAGCTCACAAGAGTTGGGAACCTGGAGCCCATTGCACAACCTGCAAGCAGCTCAGCAGGTAAGAGAGTGCCTTTGGCAGGTGGCTCGGTTGGCCTGAGCTTCTTCGGGGAAGCTCGGCTGCTCTCAGCCTCGTTCAGCCAGCTTGGCTGACCTCTGTTTCTTCCAGGTGGCTTGGCAGGAAGGGTCCAGGGCAGAGTCCCTCAGGAAATCTGAAGACATAGGGTCCTTGAGGTCCAGTGTTCTTGTTGTGGGGTCAGCCATGGCAGTGCAGCCGGAAGATACAATAGGCACCACAGGGGAATTCAAGGTTGGGAGGAGCTGTGTATAGCTGAAAGTCTGCAGCTGGGCCCTGAGGATGCTTCTGCAAATGTCACATGTATAGAGTCTCTACTTCTAAGGGTGGCAAAATCTCAGTTTGGGAGACAAGTAAAAGAATATAGAAAGCTGACTTTTCACAGTTGGAGAATCCTGCTTTGATGAAACATAGAGCGTGTATCCTATGTTCATTTTGACTTTGGTTTAGAAAGGACTGAAAATTTTTTATTTGTCACAAACATCTCAAAATAAAAACAAAATCTTATTGGCTTGAAAATAGATTAAATCATTGAAATGCAAATGCATCCTACTATGACTTATGGGTGTTGGTGTTCAGTCGTTTACACCGGCCTGCCCTGGGGACCTAGCAGGACACTCAGCAGCAGCAGCCAAGATGCAAAAACCCTCCCACTTGAGCTCTGTTACATGGTGTGGTTCCCCTTGGCTCCAATTTGCCAAGGTTGCCTTCTGCCACTAACGTATTACAATGGGAAGTCGAGAAAATAAGTATGTATGAAATTCAACCAAGTAGCATTTTCCTTGGAGAAAAGTTAAAATTATATGAATCACTGTATTGATCATTTCTCTCATTTCTGTGACAGAATGCATAAAAATGCACCCTAAGAGAAAAAGAATTTATTCTGGTTTATAGTTTAAAGGTAACAATAACGTGGTAACATGGTGCCTAACAGGAAGCAAAAAGACCTTGTGTTGTCTGAGAGTTTTGTCCTGCATCATCCAGCAGACATCAGTCCTAAAGAAACACACAGAGGCTTACATTAATTATAAAATGATTGGCCTATTAGCTCAGGCTTTTTATTAATTAATTCTTACATCTTAAATTAGCCCATAATTCTTGTCTATGTTAGACATGTGGCTTGGTACCTTTACCAGTGAGGCAGTCTCATCTTGCTTCCTCTGTGTCTAGGTGGTGACTGCAGAATGACTTTTCCTCTTCCCAGAATTCTCCTGTTCTCATTGCCCCATCTCTACTTCCTGCCTGGCTACTGGCCAATCAATGTTTTATTAAAAATAATACAAGTGACAGAATAAAAGACCATTGTCCCACAGCAACCTTGGACCAGAAGAAGCCAGGTTCGACTATTACTCTCAAGACCTGCCCCAGCCACTCAATTTCTCAGCTAGGTACCACCTCCTAAGGCTCAAAATCCACCCCCTGCCCTGCACCACAAAAAATATATTGTCATAAACTGGTGATAAATGTTTAAACACATGAACCTGTGTTCATTTCACATTCAAACTGTAACTTATAATTCAGTGTGAGAGAGACCTTGGTGAGTGAGAGCCAGAGGTCTCAGTGTGGGTGGGACAGACAACATTTAGACAGAGCTTAGGTGAGGAGTTTATTCAGAGAAAAGTAAAAGGGAGGGAAGAGAGAAAGAACAAAGCAAAGAGAGAGAGACAGAGAGATCTGGCTCCTTAGAGAAACTGCAGACAGAGGAAAGAGGGAGTAGGGGGGCTTGTCTTTTAAAGAAAGCTTTCCACCTGTGTGGCACTGCCAGGGTACTGTTTGCCATTCGCAGAGGGGTGATATGCTGTGCCAGACTCCCAAGAGACAGAGCCAGGTGTGCCTGGATGCTAACACTCCTCCCTTCTTCTTCTTCTTCTTCTTCTTCTTCTTCTTCTTCTTCTTCTTCTTCTTCTTCTTCTTCTTCTTCTTCTTCTTCTTCTTCTTCTTCTTCTTCTTCTTCTTCCTCCTCTTGGGGGGACCTAAGAAGGCTGGGGTGCTGCCACATCCTGGGGTAGCGGGTTGTTTCACTGCTGTCCAGGCTCTCTGGCACTTCTTAGAGCTGGTGAGATGTTGTCAAGCAGAGAACAAGGTTAAGTTAGGGGGAAATTTTTTTAGGTCCTGGTGATTGAAGGGGAAGGTGTCAGAACCAGGGGAAATGTGGGGAGGCTTGAACTGCTTAGGGCCTCTTAACTAAGGGAGGGGTGCATCTGACCTTCTTGAGGTGACTCCAAGTTGACTCTCTGGAACTTACAAGGATTCTTTGAGTTTGTGAAAACATAAATTTTAGACATATTAGTATTTCCACTGTTTATAATCTATACTGAAATTTGTAGTGTAGAAATGGCAGTATATTCATATCAGAAATTATTTTGGTTAAAAGCATTCACACCCTTCCATCTGTAAAACTGTGACATATTTTTAGCACAATGAAAACTACCTTTTAAGTCTATAGTTAGAAAATGATCAAAGAGAATTTAAATTCTTGATCTTGCAGTTATGACAGAGGTAGTTCTCTGCCAGAGCCAGATTAATAATTCATCAGAATTTCATCGATCAGTGTTAAGACTATGAACGGTATCATATTGCGAGAATGAACAATCTGATACCGTGCACAATTTGCACGTGATACAATTTGCATGCCTTAAGTCACTTTCTTATGCCCTGAAGCATTCTTACATCCTCACCTTAAGCTTTGCATCCTAAAACACCTTTTATTTAAACAAAGGAATTTTAAGAAGTTATACTGAACTGAAATGTAGCTAACAAAGTTTCTTCCCTTCTCTCCTGGCGATTCGCAGGGCCATGTGACCTCCGGCTTCCTGGAGACTCTGCTCCAGCTCTGGCTTGAGGGGATAACTTAGCAAGAACCTGGTTCTCTTTGTTATGGTGATTCCACCTGTATTCAAGGTCTTAGCAGTGGGCTATTAGCCTGCCTCCCCTGGCTGACCCTGCCCGAGGGGCCGGGAAGCTTTAATCTTCTCCTCCTGCTTCTGGTTGGGAGGAGGCCTTGCCTTTTTGATCCTGGTTGCCCACTGGTATAAATATCTGACTTGAGTTTAATAAAGTTGCCATTTACTCTTGTAGATGAACCAGGTCTCTTTGTGTGTGTGTTTTCTTTCCCAACCCTCAGGACAATGTCCCTTCTCGTGGGCCCGAGTTCAGGAAGCAGCCTGGGTCGGGCGTGGGTATCCATTGGGAAACGCAGACTCCCACACTGAAATCTGTTTTTTTTTTTTGAGTCAGGTAAATTGAGTCTAGACTTAACCTTGCTTCCTGTGGTTAAGCTGGCAAAGCTATCAGTCCTCACAGTTCTTGAGAAGGATACAGTTTGACCTGAATTAATGATTTTAAATGACAGATTTGATTGGCTCTCTGCACAGTCACTCCCAGGGTCCTCCATAGTTGTTGAGGGCAAAGGCATTATTATATTCTATAAATGGAGTGTCTGTCCCCTGAGAAACTTCCTTTCCCAAAGCCAGGCCTTAGACAAAAGCCCCCATTTCCCAGGGGCTCAAAGAAAGTTCCAGAGTTATTCTCCTTATCTCTGGTAAGAGGAACTTGTGACCACCTAGCCTTCTGTCTTGCCAAGATCAAGGCTGTCTCCTTCAATCCCTGTTCACAAGCCCCCTTTCTCCCATTTCCATTGAATCCTTTGTGCAATTATAGAATATAAAAAGTGTAGCCTTTTTACAACAAAGTGGCAACCACCTTGATTTACCCCCAGACTGTGTCAGTCTCTTTTCCTTACTCACTCCACACCTCCGCTTTGAGACCTGAGCCCTGCTAGAGTTGGACTCCAGCACCTGACCTCTTTCCTGAGTGTTCCCACAGCTCATTAGCCTCTCTTCTTATTCCACCTCCACCCTCTCTCTCCAGATGGTCATTTATTAGTATCTGCCAATTTCATAACCATTATTGCTCTTTGGGGGCCTTTCATAATAAGAAGTAGGCAAGTGTGCAGTCTAAGTCATAAGGGTTTGAGTTTTTCAGGTTGTGACCTAAAGCCATTTAGTGATTAATCTCATCCAAGTGTAGCTTCTTTCCTTCTTGGAAAGCAGAGACTCCAGAGTGATGGTGATGGTCCAGCAGCTAAAGGTGTCTGTTGCCAAACCTGTCAATGGAGCTCAATCCCTGGGTACCCACACAGTAGAAGAGAGAACTTTAACTTCCTCTTTGAGTGTCACCAATAATATTCCTTAAAAAATGCTGGCATGCCCCCGGCAGGCTCTCAGAGCAGCCACTTGTCCAGCAAGGACAGCTGTGGGTCCCTGCAAGATCCTCAGAGGCCATGTGAACAGGCGGTGATCTCACAGAGCAGTGGGAGTGCATCCTGGGAGAGTGGCTGGCTGTGGGAAGGCGGGCACATGGCAGGCGGACAGGAGACAGAGACATGGACATGTAGAATGAGATTGAAATATTTATTCAGGGGGTTATGGAGGAAAAGGGGGGGGCGCAGAGAGAGAACGGGAGAGGGAGAATGGGAGGGAGAAAAAGAAAGACAGAGACAGAGAGAAAGGGAGAGAGAACAGAAAGAGGCCAAGATGGTGACAAGAGGTCAGAAGTCACTGGGAGTGGGAGTGGCTTGTCCCTTAAAGGGACCAGAGATCAAAAAGAATAACAATCAATGATCAGTTTTCCTTAGAGATTTTCTTTTGTCATAAAGAACTGAAAGCTGAGAGAAAGAATTTCCAGAACAATGTTGTGATATTTATTTGCAAATATAAATATCTTAGAGTAAAAAAGAACAGTGTTTCAAAGCATCTGAAATTCCAGAAAGGCAGCCTGGATTGGTGGTTAGACATCCAGGGGGCATGGACCAGGTTGGATGAGTGGTTAGACATCCAGGGGGAATATACCAGACTGGATGAGTGGTTAGACATCCAGGCGGAATGAACCAGGCTGGATGGGTGGTTAGACATCCAGGCAGTATGGACCAGGCTGGATGGGTGGTTAGACATCCAGGTGGTATGGACCAGGCTGCGTCTAGCTGGATTCATGATGTGGCTCTACTTGGTATTTCAAACCTTTGATAAGTTAGTGAAAGTAAACATGGTAATTTGAAGTCACTCTGACAAGTATTGGGCAGCACTGACATGCAGGATAGCGAGGTTGTTAGCTGTAGAGGGTAGAAAGTGCAGACATTGTAAAGCCAGCCAGGACCACCGAAAGAATGCCTGTAGGGTCAGGAGCCTGCAGTTGCAGCATCATGTCATAAACTTCCATCTAGCCCTCTATGGAACATGAAAGCCTTTCTTCTGCTTTAAAGTTGGGTGGAATTGGTAGCCCCTCTGATCTGTTCCCAAAGTGTTTTCCCTGCCAATTTTCAAACAAACCACTGTGGTAATATTTTGTTTGTGCTCTAACAAATAATGCTTGCCTGAAGATCAGAGGACAGAGCTAGCCACTAGGTAACCATAGAGGTCTGGAGTTCTGTACAGATAGATAGGAAGTGATATAGCTGGGCAAAGAGAGAAATACAAGGCAGGAGGAGACAGGAGCTCACTCCCTTTTTTTCAGCTGAGGGGATAGCAAGGTAAGAGTTGACTGTGGCTTGCTCCTTTGTTTCTCTGATCACTGGTTCTGGGTTTTTATTAATAAGACCAATTAGAATTTGTACAACAAACCACAGTTCATGCTGGCTGCTTGTGAGAAGAGCATTCTCGTATTCCTTGTTACCTGGTCACTTCACTAATTCACATGGATTCTTCAGTGACAGAAGAGTCTACATGTGTGACAGCTAGAACAGTATTCAAGGCAGCATTCTTTGCCTGTCTTTCTTCTCCATCATTACACATCCTTTTCCTGCTGAGCCACAGGTGACCCTGGCATAGTCTTAAACCTATTCCTGATGGGGAACCTCTTCAGTCAATGGCCTTTGAGAGAATGGACCAGGTGGAACATGGCCTTTGGGTACCAAAAAGCCTGCAGGAATGCCCACTTGGCCTATTCTTCCCACACATCACACCTAGATGTTGGACCCCATTCCTGTTTGCTTGTTGTGATCTGTGAGTTTCCCTTTTAATAAAGAAAAACCTTAGTATACTCTAGTCAGAGCTAGTGTAGGTTATTTGATTCGTGTTCCCCCCATCTGATGCATTCTTCTTCATCTGATGCCCAACATGGGGCCGGGTTCATGCTTACTGGGACTCCTCCCACCCCCTACTACACTTTTGGTTCGCCATTCCAGGCATGTTTCTTGCCTGCCTGCAGCGCTAAATGAATCAATGAGTGCACTACAACAACACCCAGGACTAGAGATTCAGACTTTACAAAAGGCAGTGGTAAAAAGATTTGAAACAATTAAGGAAATTACTGGAACTGATGGGTAGGAAGAGAAGGTATAGGAACAGGATTTAGCCTCTCCAGTAGAGGTCAAAGTCAGGAATGACTTACCCAGAGTTTTAACTGCTTATCCAGTAATCTCCTCTGAGAAGCTATTGGGTACAAAATATCCTAAGGTAGTCAAAGGAAATAAATGGCAACCTATAGGTATGAGCAATCTAAAGGAAATTAAGCAAGCAATAGTGTCTTATGGCTTTTACTCACTATTGTTTGGAAAATGGTGGAAACGTGGGATTCAACCAATAAAGTTACCTCTCATGATTAGATTCAATTAGTATCAGCAGTCCTATAAGACAGACCCTAGTTGCTATGAAAATGCTATTGGCAAGAAGAGGCAAATATTTTGGAACAACAGGGAAAAGCAAAAAAATTTAAACTTCCTACAGTCAAATTCTTGGTGAGGGCTATTACTCCAATCTTCAGGACCGGGCTCTCAATGACGAACACACCTTGTTCCTTGCAGCACAGCAGCTTTAAATGCTTGGGACAGGATTCAGGAACTAGGAAAGAAAATTAAATCATATACCAAAGTTAAACAGGGCCAGAGAGAACCCTTTAATGACTTCTTACAGATATTAACTAAGGTTGTACAAGTAGGAGTAACAGATCCAAAAGCTAGAATAGAAGGTCTCAAGCTTCTGGAATATGTAGGAGGTGTGACAAAGGCTGATATTGTACCAATGAATGTATATCAACAAAAGTCAGACAAGGCAACCCAATATTATTAGAAAACTCCTTGGGGGAGCCTCTTGCAGGCTCCCATGTCAAACATAGTCATTCCCAGATACTATGGAGAAAATGTCTTACCAGGAAAATTAAAAAATTCCAGTGCCTACCGTAAAAAATACCATACTGTTCTGGGTAATGAGTAGACATGGAGGATGAATCAAAAACTCCAGTAGGAAATATATATATATTGGCAGACTTCTATAAATGATCAAAGACCAAAGCTAAGAGTGTGCATAAGCAACAGTGTCATTGAGAGATTACTGGACATAGGTGCAGATGTGACTTCAGAATCTGGCATCCTAATTGGTCCCTTCAAAAGGCAGATGTTCAATTCCTAGGAATTGAAACTCTATCTCGGGTGAAACAAAGCATGAGATATGTTAAATGCATATGGCCAGAAGGACAGAAAGGAAAGCTGAAGCCATATGTAGCTAATATTGCAGTGAATTTACGGGGTATTGACCTGTTGCAGTAATGGAATACCCAGGTTAACATTCCTGTAGTCTCAAAAATTCATGTTTCTGGGAAGGATATTATAAGGTACTATACACAAAGGTCACCATCCATTCAGGCTGTACAAGGTCACAAAGCAACTAGCAAACCTTCAGAGTTACTAATGGCTCTGCCTTTAAAATAGTTAACTAAAGAACCAAAATGGGTTAAGCAATGGCCTTTAGCAGAAGAGAAGCTGCAGACTTTAGAACAGCTGGTACAGGAGCAACTAGATCTCACCATATTGAAGAATCAACCAGTCCTTGGAATTCTCCTATATTTGTTATTAAAAATAAATCTGGAAAATGGAGAATGGTGACAGATCTAAGAGCTATCAACAAGGCAATTGAACCTATGTGCCCTCTACAATCTGAAATTCCTCTGCTTTCTCTGTTACCAAAAGGATGGCCTCTCCTAGTTATTGATTTAAAAGATTGTTTCTTCACTATACCTTTACAAGAAAAGGACAGAGAAAAATTTACCTTCACAGTGCTTACTTATAATAATTCTCAGCCTACTAGGAGATATCAGTGGACCATCCTCCCAGGTGGATGCTCAATAGCTCCCCTCCCTGGCCAATACTTTGCAAGTCAGCCATTGAAAATAATACATAAACTATTTCCTAAATCTATAATTTACCATTACATAAATGGCATTTTGCTGTCTGATTCAAATGCAGATACTTTAGAAAGAATGTTTGAAGAAGTAAAGAAAGTTTTGTCCAAATAGAAATTACAAATTGCTCCTGAAAAAAAATACAAAGATGATATTCTGTCAATTAGTTAGGTTATAAAATAGGTTTACAGAAAATTAGAACCAAAGGGGACAAATTAGGAGAGATTGATTGCAGACTCTTAATGACTTTCAAAGATTGTTGGAGATATTTCCAGTCTACAACCAGCTGTTGGGATAGCACCTGAATCTAATAATTCATTTAAACAAAATCTTAGATAGTGACAAAGACCTAAATATTCCTGGGGAATTAACAGCTGAAGTTGATAAAAACTGACTGTTGTTGAAGAGAAATTACAGGAGGCTCATGTTGATAGGCTGGAACCAAATCTTAATTGCATTCTAGCCATATTGCCTTCTAGAATTTCCCATACTGAAATTTTAATGCAGATGGAAGATATTATCTTGAATGGATTTTTTTTACCACATAAACCAAGTAAAAATTTAAAAACTTTTATGAAAAACATCTCTGAATTAATTATAAAAGGAAAATTGAGACTTCATCAACTAGCAGGTATAGACCCAGCAGAGATTATAGTGTCTTTTACTACTGATGAAATTAAAAATTATGGGAAAACGATGAACCCTGGCAAAGAGCTTGTGTTAATTTTTATTCCAAAAGTGATAGAATTAACCTTATAAAGAAAACTACTTAGATTATTCCCCGAATTGTACATGACATACCAATAACTGAAGCATTTTATACTGTACATTTCATACTGATGTAAATAAATCAGGAAAAGAGGGTTATAAATCAGAAGATTTAAGCAAGGTGGAACAAAGCCCTTATAATTTCTGTCTAAAAGGTAGAGTTATATGTTATTTTCTCGGTACTAAGGGATTTTAAAGAAGCTCTCAATATAGTAACTGATTTACAATATGCAGAAAGAGTTGTCATGCATATTGAAACTACTGAATTTATACCAGATGATACAGAATTGATTTCATTATTCATTCAAGTTCAAGATATAATCAGGAATAGGCTTTGTCCCACATACATAACACACATTTGATCCCACACATGTATGCCAGGTCCTCTAGTCCAGGTAATGATATAATTTTAGGATATATTTATCATATTGTATTATATATTTCTATCCATGATCAAGATACTTATACATTGTTTACATTTTGATGTCATTGTCCTCATTTGCTGCACAGTTATCTAAAGATTAATATTCTAATATGAAATCTTAGTCTTTAAGTTATACAGGTATTAAGTATTGTAGGTCAATTGTCATCCATGTTTGTCATACTTATAGTTAGACTAATAAGGTTCTTTAGAAACATAGAAATTGTATTGCATAGATAAGTAATCTTCAACCACTTCAAAGAATTATATAACATGGCATTTGAATAATTTAGGGTTCTGTTGACATAAAACACAATTGCTCCTGGCAACACTGATCTGTTTCCAAGAGAATGTAGAGCACTAAAGACACTCCACTTGGAGCTTGTTTTTTTCTTGGCAATACTGGCCTTTGGGCAAGGAACTGCCCATGCTTCCACCACTGACAAAATGCATGGTGTCTGGATTGAACAAGCAAGATGCAAGAAAAAAGACTACCAAACCTTGCCAAGTAGGGTAAGAAGGTATTGAAAATCTTCTTGCCTCTGAAAATGGTCTGACAGTTACTCTAAGCCTCAGCCAAAGTTGGTTGCTCCAATGTTGCAAATGAGACTTTGGGTGATTGCCCAGGTAGCAAGTTGTCTCTGTCATCTACTGCATATTTTGGAAGCTACTTGATTGCATTTCCTGCCTACTCAAGTAATATTATCTCCCTTCTCAGACCTTTGATGGGGTTGAAGATTAGATAGTCATAGTTATTTTTCTGTTATGATTTATCCAAGCCATTTCTAATATAAGAGTAGATTCCTTAGGATAGAATAATCATTGAAACATTTAGCATATGTTCCTTGCTGAATATTGTTTATACTGGTTGTCATTCTAATTTTTATACTTGCTATCTGTTTTTATTATTTATAGCTTTGTATTTGGTTTGGACTCTGTTATTTAGACAAAAGGGAGAGGTGATGGGGAACTTTCTTCAGTCAATGGCTTTTGAGAGGCTGGACCAGGTGGGGCATGGCCTTTGGGTACCAGAAAGCCTATGGGAGAATCCATTCATCCTCTTCTTCCTGCAGGCCACACCTGAGTGTTGGATCCCATTCTTGTTTTCTTGTGATCTGCGAGTTTCCCTTTTAATAAAGAAAAACCTTAGTATACCCTATTCGAAGTTAGAGAAGGATTATTTGATTTGCGTTCCCAACATCTGATGTGTTCCACTTCACATTCCTCTACTTCATTCCCCATCACAATAAAATGATACATTCTGTTGACTTAACAAACATCAAAATGCAGCTTTATTTATATACAACCTATGTACTTTACAATTCATCTACTTAAGACATAATTTAGGGGCTGGGGAGATGACTCAGTGGTTGAGCATACTGGCTGCTCTTCCAGAGGACCTGAGTTCAGTTCATAGCACTCATGTTGGGCAGCTCACAACTGTCTAATTGAGCTCCAGGGAATCTGACACTCTCTTCCAGCCTCCTTGGACATTTGCACATGTGTACATATACTCCCATTCTCATATATATGTGATTAAGAATAAAATACATATTTTAAAAATAGAATTTGATGTTTTTTCCCTGTTAAGTTACCAATATGTAGAATCACCATACTGTCAACTTTAAAATACTTTGTCATCTTGAGGATATATTCTGTACCCTTTAGTTCCATATTCTATTTCCCCTACTTTATTCATCCCTATTGCAACTACAGCTCTCTGTATTTCTGGTTCTCTGTATTTGATTATTATGGATTTTCATATGAATATATCTATTCTATATGTGACCTTTTGTGACTGGTTTCTTGTCTGAACGTTTTCAAGATTCCTCTTTGTTGTAACAAGTAAAAATACTATATTCCTTTTTATGGCCAAGTAATATTTCATGATATGGTTATATCACATTTAAAAATGCATGAATAGTTGAGCAGTTGTGGTGCACGCCTTTAATCCCAGCACTTGGGAGTCAGAGGCAGGTAGATCTTTGTGAGTTCAAGGCCAGCCTGATCTACAAGAGCTAGTTCCAGGACAGGCTCCAATGCTACAGAGAAACCCTGTCTCGAAAAACCAAAAAATAAAAAATAATAAAAAAATCATGCATTAATTGATGGACCTTTGATGATTTCGTATAAGTAATGTTATATAAACATTGACTTATTTTAATTTTTTCCTGTACATATATCTAGGTCATAGAACAACTGAGAGTCTAACAATTTCAGAGATGCTAGATCATTTTATAAAGCAGTAGCACGGTTCTGTCTGAAGGCTTCAACTTCCCCACATCTTCTTCAACACTTCTTGTTGTCTGACATTCTGATTCCGCCTTACTGGAGTGTGAAGCACTATTTTCCTCTAGAATGTACTTCCCTTACCTAGACATTTTGCTGCCTCCCAGTGTAGGAGCCCCAGTCTAGTAATTTACTTCATACACAGCTCTGGGTTCTAACCTGCTTTTTATTTCCAAGCTACTTATT